ATTTCTTTTTTTTGGTCTCATCTCTTCTCCTTTTTTGTAGCAATTATGTGGATTAGTGGAGAGCCTTCATAAATGCATTCCTTCATTTAGGCTATCAGCTCTATGTCTGCTTTAGTTTTTTAGCGGTTGCTGTAGAGTGCACATTTGTATTTTCACACAGCCTACCTTGCAGTAATTTCACTCAGTTTTAGAATTAATTACAGTGATCTAATATTTGTTCACTCACCATTTTCTCCTCTTTATATAATATTTTTATAGGTTTAAACTTTACCTTTATTTTAAATCATATAATATGTAGGAATTATTTTTCTAGTTAGTTCATTATCATTTAAAGTACACTAAAGTCTAACAGTTCCTTCTGGACATCTCCAATTACTACTGAGCTACTTGCTCAGTATTATCTGAAACACAGCTAATTTCCTGGCCTGGCTGTCAGAATTCTGCGCTTCTGAATGCAGATATTCCAATTAGTGAAGGAAAAGTCACTGACTTCTTTTTCTAGGACCCTTGATCAGTGACAGAACTGACCACATGAGGTTTCTATAGAGCAAGAAGGTGGTTGTACCCCACTGTGATCAAGCAGCTGGCATAGAGATAAGCTCAAGTCTTCCTGCTCTGCTGACTGGATTTTCAGAATGGAGAAGTGGCCAACAAGACTTTCAGCAGACGGCCACTCATTCTGATGCAGCATCCCTAATGCATCTGATGGAAATTCACTCTGAGAATCTTCAGAAATTCCAGGACTTACCCCAGAGTCTGTCAGTACCAAAAAGGCAACTGTGTCCAGAGTTTGGACTATGTCTTGGAACTATATCCCATCCCTTCTTTATGACTCTGTATCTGGAGGTCTGGGAAACTTCAGCATTGACAGGAATTGTGGGGACCGAAGTTAGAAATAGAATGAAAAAAAATTTAGTCATCGCATATGCATGTGATAAGATGGCTTTGTGTTCTGAGAACTCAGCTCTCCTCAGACACAGTGGCCACCCAGAAGAAGAATACTTTGATCCATGGCAGGATCAAACTAGAGAGGAGGCTCCCCAGATCAGGGTTCTTGTGCACAGGAGCAGAAAGGGTGGGACGTCCTTTGTCCAGGAACTGCATGTCTTGAGGCAAGTCAGCGAACCTCAGTTACAAATTAAGCCTACAAATTAAGTGAACCTGTTACAAATTAAGCCTAAAGTTCCAGGCTTAATCTAAAATGCATAAATCTACTGTGCACCAGTAAGACAGAAAACAATACCAGCAGGCATAATCAGAAATCCTAAAAGGAAAATAGGTGAGTCACAGAATTCAAGCAAAGTGGTACCTTAGTCCTGGAATCACATACTCCTTGATCCTGGGAGGTCCCTTTCTTTGTCCACATGCAGTATTCCAGGCCACTGCTGCCTGGTTGCATACAGCAGCCCCACATAGACTTCTCAAGTCTCCTTCTGTTCACATTGTTAGATGGATATCGCCATGTGGATGTTTCAGCAGCACTTCCCACTGGAAATCTCTAACAAGATCTCTCATTCCTGACACCATTTTTTGGGGATCTTCCTTTATTTCAAAATGTCAGAAAAGAAAAAAGTTCTTAATCAACTATTATTTGCATTTCTCTTGGTTCTTAATGCACATTCATGATTCCTCCTGTTTATCAAAAGCACTTCTAAAACAAACAGATAGATTCTTGTACATGTTTATTTCAGTAAAGTCACAACTGTTTTCCTCATCAAGTTGTAGGGAATTTTTTTACAATAAAAAATGTAGAGTTGACAGAATATAACTGGGATTCCCAACAGTCTGCATGGTGAATAATGTTTCTTATTTTCATCCTACCACTGACAGCACCCTTCGTGTGAGGTACAGTGGTAGCTGTCTCTGTCACTGCAGTGATGTAGCTTTAGAGTTGTGAAGACCCTGAAAGCATACTTGAGAAAATAGTTTGAAAAAGAGGATTGAGGATTTAGCAGTGTTTTTGCTGCAGGTCCAAAGAATCACTGCTGACCTCCTTGAGATGAAGTCTGTGTTTTGTTGTCATACAGAGGTATTAGGGTAATCAGTCCCATGTTTTCACACTCACAAGTTCGTTTCGCAATATGTAAACATGAGGCTGGTGCAATTTCAGCTGATGTGATTCCCAGTAGATGACGTCACTGTCCTAGACGTGTCACATGCCTTCAAGGTCTGTGTGAGTAGTGGGGACCTGGCATGAATATCTGTGGGAGGATGGTGTCCAGGGGACACATGGGTTGAGACAGAAATTTGCATACAATTTTTTTGAGGCACTGTAGTTGCAGGACCAGTAATTCACTCATACATTTCTGGAACTATTTTACTTGCTCTGAGAAGACAAAGTATATTTGAGCAGAGAAACATGGAATCTCTTTAAATTCTCTGAGACTGAAATTGTCATTTTTAATACAGATCCCACAGCTTTTCAAGGTATATGCCTGACAACATCGAGGACTCCACATTCGTAGCAAGTTTCCACTAACTATGTGTAAGATGCATCCACTCTTGACAGACAAAAATACATCCAGCAGAAGAACCTGAATCACACGGGATTATTGAGCAGGTAGAGAGAATCTAAGGCTTTGGGCATTGAGCACTTTCTTTTCTCTGTACCTGGTGAGCGTGGCTGTCTTGTGATTGCGCTATTCCTGCTTATAGCCCTACACCAATGTCTTCCTGGGATGTTTCAGGTTTTTTTTTTTTACATTTTTTTTATTTTAAAGAGAATAAAACCAAGTAAACTAAAACAGAATAAAGCCAATCAAAAAAAAAAAACAGTGTAAGTGATACATGACTTTAAAATACGATAACAAGAAATGAATATTTGCTACCACAGTGCCTCTTGTCTTCAAAATAGATACCCATTCCCTTAGAAATATTAAAATCAAGCAAAACAAAACACAATAGAACCAATAAACACAATACAATGAAAACAGTACAAAATTTCAAAAAAAGATAATACCAAATCCAAAATGGCTAACACAATGTATCTTGTTATCTCGAAATAGGTGCCCATGCCATCAGATAAAATCAAATACATACAGCAGAAGAAAGTCAAACCAAACAAAACAATGAAAATGACACAGGATTTATAAAAAGACAATAGGGAATTAACAGTAGCTACCACCTTCAGAGGAAGATACCCAATTGACCCTATATTGCATAGTGCTATGGCTGGCTTCTTATTATCCTTTCATGGCCCACACATGGTGCCTGAACCAGATTTTTTTCTCCTCCAGCCCCATCAGCTATTCCCTGAAATTTCTCCCACACAGAGAGAGGTGATAAACTAGATTCTAAAACAAAAAACAAAACAAAAAAACAAACAAAAATATCTCTTATACTTGCAGTTTTTCCGGTGTTTGTCTGAGGTGTTGTGCTCTTTGAAGGTGCCTCTTGGTATAAAGATTGGGATGGGAACGGAGACTGAGATGATGATTGGGGGAGGGAAAGGAAGAGGAGCATACACCTTGCTCCATATCCAAAGGCCCTAAGAACCCTGGTCATCCTTCAAGTGAGGGTTTTAAATGTAACACTTAACATTCATCATAGATTCATAGTGCTGAAAACTTTACAAAATAGCTGACATAGTAGGTTGACTGTGCTGTGCTAACAAAATCCTACTCACAAGGTTGAAATTTTCCTGGTTTATGAAACCTTAGATGTTGAACAAACAATGTTCTACACTTGATTAACAATTTCCCTAAGTAATGTGGATCATTGGTGCAACAATATCATGCTTAGCACTGAATTTCCTTTCAAGATCTGTATCGTTGGTACACATTGAGTAGGAAGTGCTATATGTCAGTTTTCAGTAAAATCTCTAGGGCTCTTAATTTTCATGGCTTCACTAGAAAAACAAAGCACACATTTTAGTGTTTGGGTGGAGGGTGAACAGTGTTGCCCCCTAATGGAATGAAAGAAGCATAAGGAAGCAGACTGCAAATTCCCCTTGATCTTATCTGTGTGCTTTATCAAGATAATCTGCTGCTGAATAAATGCTTTGTCACTGTCATAAACTTTATGAGTTCATTCTATACTATATCACATGAATTGCACCTCTCAATCTCCAAATGTGGGTTTTTTTGTGGGGGCCCCTAATATAGTGCTCTGAGGTATTTTAAAGGTCCAGATTTGGCACTGGCTTATATCATTTTTATTCACATCTGGACCTGGAGACAGATTCTGAATCTTCCAATTGCAAAAAGACTGCAAATCCTAAGGAACCACGTGTGTGTGATGGGTACTGATGTTTTCTATTACACTGATTCTTCACTACTTATGCACATTTCTCATGCTTATTCCTGGTCCAGAACTTGAATGTGTATGTTTTACACTGAGTTTCAATGCGAAGACTTTAATACTATTGAAATGATATTATTCATCATGGATTAAACCCTTTTGTGCCTCTATTAAAAATGTTCTCCCTCAAATGAAAGTTAAATCTTTTCCTCAATCCAACGTAGACTTATTTTTTTTTTCACAGTGAAGTGTATCTGAAGTATATTTTCATGTGAGGAATGAAGTTTAGATCCTGTAAAAGAGGAAAGAACATATGTTCTTCACAGTAGAAATGGCCTGGGAAAAAGTGTCCACTGGGTAGAAAATGACACAGGAGAACAGAACTGACTGTGGAGAACCATGGCTGGGAGAGAAAGCTGAGGAAATGTGGTGGAGGCTGATGATGGACAGGTAAGTGAAGTGTGAGGACACAGGACCTGACAGGCCCCGGACAGAAAAGGCAACTGGGAGCAGAGACCATTTATAATTTGGGGTTGAGTGGTAATAGAAGTCACTGAAAAGCTCAGGCCTGAGAAGATGCTGGTATGGAGAGAACCAAGGGAGTTATTATATAACAATTAAAGATGCATTTCTGCCAGTATAAAGAGATGCAGAAGACAAAACCAGCAGTCTTCTGGTGTTGAGGTGACCTACAGTGTGGCAGAGACCAGCATGGCAAGGATGTCAGGACTGAGAGCCAGACTGGAAGGTTCCAGGTTATGTCAAGAACCCTGTGCCTGCTGAAGAGCCTGGAACTTCTAAAGGTGGAGCCAGAGGTTGTGGGCACAGACAACCACAGTCTCCCTAACACTTTATGTACAGAGAGGAGGTGGCTATGCAGCACTGTGGAAACACTGGTGGCACAAAAGTACACAGATGATTGGAACAGGGTAGCTGAGTCCAGAGTGAGGGGAAAGTCCTCTGTGTTTTCTCTGGAGACACTGTACCCATCAGGGGCTTCTCCTTTGTCTTGGATGCCAACACCAACTGAGTAATGGATCAGCCTCAGTCCACGCCCTAGGTCTTGTCGATACCAGTACATGGAGTTATGGCTGTTGGTCTGGTGGCAGTTCAAAGTCACTTTTTCTTTTGTTTTTGTGATCTTGTATCTTGGGCTCTGGCTGACTCCAGCCTCCGTATGCACTATGACAGAAAAAAGATCCTGGTGAAGAGCCCAAGGAGGAGGCCTTGTATTGAGGTTTTGGGAAATTTAGGGAAGGAAGCCCACCTGTGGCCCACACTCACCTGCCCACAATAGACTGAAGGTCAGGCAGGAGAAGAGCTTGGTGCCCATTTCTCAACGAGGGCAGTGATCTTGTGTCTTCCAGTCTTGTCTAGGGGAAGTAGAACTTGGGGTTTCTATGACTTAGTGATGTCACTGTCCTGACAAATGCATGAGTTGTGTAGTGAAGCTGGCATGCTCTTCACCTACAAGACAATTTTCACTTATAAATGTGTATTTGCTCTGTATGCATGTATCTGTGTAGAATTTCATGTTATATCTACCATAAATACACCATTTATCCATCCCAAATGGAAAATTATGTGCAGCCTGTTTTTAATTACAAGTGCATATGTCTTTCCTGATTTTAGTATGGAAATCTGTTCCTACAACAATCTCATTAGGATATAAATACTTATTTGTATACTGTTTTATCTTTTTCTCATATTTCTCCAGTCTAAAAAGACTTCTTACAACATTTCTCATGCCTTTTATAGTTCCTTTCCTAAAAGGTTACCTCCAAGTACATTTTTTAAAAAAAGGTAATTACTGGAAGTCAGTCTGAGATTATATACTTGGGTAGAGGAGCCACTTGATATATAGAAAGGATTAAAAGTATCAAAGTCAAGATTCTTAAAATTTGTAGAATTCTCATACACCTTCTCACACCAACTCATCTATCAGGAATGCTAACCATCAGTTTCAGGACACTGTGTGTACTCATGGATATGAAGTTTTCCTTCCTTCCAAGGAGGCCATGCACCCTGGACCAATGGAGTCACCATGATTGGACTTCCTGTCAAAGGCAGAGAAGGCTCATCAGAATGAAAGGTATAAACATATTTTTGATGCCAGGCTTTGGGAGGTTGAGGCAGGAGGACCACCGGTTTAAGGCTTGACTGTCCTCTATAGCAACACTCTCCCAAAGAAGAAAGGTGGTTCTTTCATGATAGGGATGGGGTCTTTGCTAAAACATAAACTGCAGACATACTATGTACATGGTCAAGGAGAAATGCTCTGTATTCACTCAGAATATCTTGTGTTCATGACATAAGAAAAGTCATGAATTGAGTCATAAATTGTCTCACTTAAAAAATTTACAAATTTTCACTAGCAGTGAGTATTGTTTCCTCTGCAGGTGATAGGTCAGTGTAAAGCCTTCCCTGTGACTACACCTCTCTATGGAATTATGAAGGATGTCTTCTCCAAGCACGCTTACTTTCACTGTATTTAGTGAGTTTTTTGTATCTTATGTACTCTTTTCACTTCTTATACTAGGGAGACAATACAGTACTTACTGATGTTAGATTTATTTCACTTATGAGTATGCTCTCAAGTTGCATCCACTTACTTATAAGTATCTCAATGTGATCATTATTTATAGCTGAGTAGAACTCTATTGTATAAAAATTCAACATCTTTTTTATCCATTCCTCAGTTGATGGGTATTTAGGTTGTTTCCAAGATCTGGCTATTACAAATTATGCTGCTATAAACACGGGTGCGCATATATCACTGTGGTATGATGTTTTCAGTTCTTCTGAGAATATTCCCGAAAGGGGAATAGATGGGTCAAATGGGATTTCCAATCCCAGCTTTCTGAGGAATCTCCAGACTGACCTCCACAACGGTTGCCCTAGTCTATATTCTCACCAAAAGTGCAGGACAGTTCCTTTACTCCACAGCCTCTCCAGCGTTTTCTATTGGTAGTTTTCTTATTTCTGGGTATTCTTTCTGAAGTGAGATGGAAAATCAGTGTGATTTTAATTTACATTTCTCTAATGACCAAAGATGCTGTACAGTTTTTCATGTATTTAGTTGCCATTTGTATTTTTCATCTGAGCACTGTGTATTCATCTCAGATGTCCATTTTTTGCAATAGGTCTTTGAATTTTGGAGTTCTGATTTTTAAAATTCCTTTTATATTCTAGACAGAAGTCCTTTGTCAGAGGGACTTTTCACTAAGTTTTTTTTTTCCCAATTTGTGAGTTTTCTTTTCACTATGCTCGAGAATTCTTTTGACATGGAGAAACTCGTTTAGGATGGGATCTCAGTTATGAATTCTGTGAAGTATTTTGAATGTCATTTGATTTTTGTTCATGAATTCTGTACCTAGTCCAATGTCTTCAAGAGTGCTGCCTACTTTGTTTTCCAGCAGATTGATGTTTCTGTTTTAATATTTAGATCTTTGATCCATTTAGATTGCAGTTTAGCACATGGTAGTAGGGATGGGTCCAATTTTAGTTTTCGACATATGGAGAGCCAATTATTTCTGCACCATTTATTGAAGAGACTATCATTTTTCCAGTGGACATGTTTCACCTTTTATCAAAGATAAGGTGTCTGAATGTGTTTGTAGTTTCAGTTCTATATTCTAATCCATTCTGTTGATCTTGAGGTCTGTTTTTATTCCAATACCATGCTGATTTTATTACAGTAGTTTTGTAGTTTATCTTTAAGTCAGAGATTGTGATGTCTCCTGCCTTGCCTTTGCTGCTTAGAACTGCCTTTGCTATTCTAGGTCTCTTCTGGTGCCAGATGAATTTTAGGAGTTATTTCCCTAAATCTGTGAGGTATGTTAGTGGTATTTTTATTTGGATTGCATTAAACCTGTATGACAGTTTTGGGAGAATGGCTATTTTTGCAATTTTTTTCTTCCTATCCATGTACAAAGGATGACCTTCCATTTTCTGAGGTGCTCTTCAATGTCTTTTTCAGGTTATTGTAATTTTTCCTGAACAGATCTTTTACTGCTTTTGTTAGATGGACGATTCCTAAGTATTTAAACTTTTTGGATGCTATTGTGAAGAGTGTGTTCTCTTATTTGTCTCTCAGTGGTTTTGTTGTTAGTGTATATGAATACTATTGATTTTTAATTATTGACTTTGTATCCAGCTATATTACTGAATTTATTTATTATACCTAGGAGTATTTCAATGGAGTATTTGGGGTCTTCTATGTAGAGTATCACGTCATCTTCAAATATTGATAATTTAAATTTTTCTTTTCCTATCCTTGCCCCCTTTATTTCTCTCTCTTGTTTAAGTGCTCTTCTTAGTATTTCCAGCACTATATTGAATAAGAGTGGTGATAATGAAGATGCTTGCCTTCTTTCTAATTTTAGGATAAGGGGTTTCTGTTTTTGGCCTTTTAATATGATGGTGATTTGGTTTGTCATAGATGGGTTTTATCATATTGAGGTAAAGACCAGCTATTCCAATTTTCTCTAAGGTTCTTAGCATGAATGAGTGTTGGTCCTGTTCAAAAGCTTTTTTCTGCATCTATAGAAATTATTATGTGATTCTTATTTTTCGTTCTAGTGATATGTTGGATTTCATTTATTGATTTGTGTGTGATGAATCATCCCTGCATGCCTGGGATGAATTGCACTTGGTCATGGTGTATAATCGTCTTGATGATTTGCTGCATTCTGTTGGCCAATATTCATTTGAGAATTTTTGTATCTATGTTCATTAGACAGATTAGCCTGTAGCTCTCTTTTTAGTTGGGTTTTTATCAGGTGTTTGTACTAGAGTAATATTTGCTTCCTGGAATGATTTAGGAAGAATTGCTTCTCTTTCAATTTCATTGAAGATTTTGAGGAGTGCCAGCATTAAATCTTCTTTCAATTTCCTGTAGAATTCTACAGTGAATCCATCTATACCTGGGCTGTTCTTTGTTGGTAAGGATTTAATACTATTTTCAATTTTGTTAATTGAAATTGAGTTATTCAGCAGTTTTACATCTTCTTGACCCAGCTTTGGTACTTTATATGTTTCTATGAATCTGTCCATTTTTTTCTGTGTTATCAAGCATATGAGACTAGAGGTTTTCGAAGTAGGTATTGATGATATTCCTTATTACCACAGGTTCTGTAGTGATTTCACCCTCTTCATTCCATAGTTCATCAATTTGGGTTTTTTCTTCCTGTTTTTTAATAAGATTGATTAAGGGCTATCAATTTTATGTATTCTTTCAAAGACCACCTCTTTGATTCACTGATTCTTTGTTTTGTTTTCTTAGGCTCTTTTGCATTGATTTCTGTTCTGACCTTTATAATTTCCTCCCTTCTTCTGGCTTTGGGCTTGACTTGCTCTTCTTTTTCTAGATCTTTGAGGTGTAACATCTGGTTATTTATTTGTGTTTGTTCTGTTTTTCTGATGTAGGATTCATCTAAATAAATGTTCCTCTGAGGACTGCTTTGCATTGCGTCCCACAGGTTCCTGTAAGATGTATTTGTATTTTTATTTCCTTGTAAATATTGTTTATTTTTTTTCTTTAATTTCCTCTGTGACCCACTGATTGCTCAGGAGTGTATTATTCAATTTCCATATGCTTATGGCGTTTTTCTTTTTTTTTTTTTTTTTTTTTGAGTTCCTATTGTCATTAACTTCTAGGTTCATGGCGTTATGATCTGATAACCTGCAAGGGATAATTTCAGTTCTTTTGCATTTACCTAAACATGTTCTGTGGGCCAGTATATGGTATATTTTAGAGAATGTTCCATGTGCTTCTGAGAAGAATGTATATTCTGATGTTATTGGGTGAAACACACTGTATACCTCTGTTAAGTCCATGATTCAGTTCTGTTATTTCTTTTTTGATTTATCTGACTAGTTAATCTGTCCTTTTGTGTCAGTGGCATGTTACAGTCTCTTGTTGTAAGTGTTATTGCTGATTTGATTTTTCATTTCTGTTAATATTTGTTTTGTATAACTGGGTGCTCTGCAATTTGGTGCATATATATTTAAGATTGTTGTCTCTTCCTCTTGAAGTTTTCCCTTAATCAGTATGTAATGACCTTCTTTATCTCTTTGGATCATTTTTGGCTTGAATTTCACATTGTCTGCAAATACGATAGCTATCTGCTTATTTTTGGGATCCTTTTACATGGAGTATTGTTTTCTATCCTTTGACTTTTAGTCCATGCGTTTCCTTTTGGGTTAGGTGGATTTCTTGTATACAGCATATGGTTGGATGTTGTTTCTTGATCCATTATGCAGTATGTTTCTTTTTATTGGTGAATTGAGGCTATTTATATTAATGGTTATAACTGATATATAGTGGTTTACATTAGACATGTTATCTTTCTGATGATGATTGATTACCTATATACTCTGTTTAATTGTTTACCTTGCCAAGTGTTTTTTACCTGTCATTC